AAACTGTTACGGTGTCAATTACTAAAGCTCATGCATTTATTCACAGATCTCCAAAGATCATATTCATACTATAATATATAGTAGTTAAATATACTTTAAGAACATAAATTAGATATCCTATTTTCTAGACCACAGTAGATTGAATGCAACAAATAAAAGCTGGGGGAGAAAAAGATACAGAATACTACTAGAAGCAGGCACATTAAAAGCAACAAGATTATTGACTGGCTACTTAAGCATGGAGAATACAAACTCACAAAAGCTTAATTCACAAAGCATAGCAACTTGGAATCATTTAGTACAAAAGCAAACAGTCCTGCACACCTCAGTAATCCATGAAGGCTGAGTATAAAAAAAAATGTGTGTGTATGTATATCTATACACACACAAATATTTAGAAATAGATTCAGTTTGAATTTAGAAGTAATCTTTAAATTAAAAAAAGCAGGAAAAAATTTAGGCTATGTAAGAAAAGAATACAAAACCAGTCTATGGAAGTGGTTAGGTTTGTCCCAGCAGACGGAGGCAAAGGAGAAGGGAGAGGACCAAAGGGGAAACTGTCACTTAAATGTATTATAAAATGTTTATTAGTCAAAATGCATCCTTATTTCCATTTGAACTTTTTAAATGTAAGTTTTAAATGAGAAATGTATATGTGAGCTTATGTTATTAGTAATGTAAGTTAGGTCTTTATGATTTTTCTTCAATGTCAGAATATTTAAATTTTAAAATTTCCTCAAAATATCTGAGGTATGTGATGGTCCCAAAGAATAAAAAAGCACTTTACATTTAATCTTTTAAATATCTATACAAGAGACACTGAAAATAAAATTTGTATAAGCTAAATGGAAAATAGTATTTCCTTCTAAAACTAAGAAATAAATTAGGTAAGTTCACACATAAGAAAATATCTGGGGCCAGGTGCAGTGGCTCACGCCTCAGCACTCTGGGAGGCTGAGGCAGGAGGATTGCTTGAGCTCAGGAGTTCCAGACCAGCCTGAGCAAGAGCGAGACCTGGTCTCTACTAAAAATAGAAAAATTGGTCAGGTGTGGTGGCATGCGCCTGTAGTCCCAGCTACTAGGGAGACTGAGGCAGGAGGACTGCTTGAGCCCAGGAGTTTGAAGTTGCAGTGAGCTATGATGATGTCACTGCACTCTAACTGGGGGGACAAAGCGAGACTCTGTCCATCTGCCCCCCCGCCCCAAAAATCTGCATAAGATTTTAAATAAGTATGAAAAAAAAGAAACTAAGTGGTTTCTCTATTCAGAATTCTTTAATCCTCTGCCCAAATTCTGGGACACTGGATAAAGAAACAAGAGGGAAAACATCATACTAGAGCTGGTCAGAGCAGAAAAATATAGGGCAAACCAGAAGTGAAGGCCCACTCTGCCAACACATTAACTGCCATGTGAGTTGAATTTAAGTAATGCTAGTTTTGAGGCCAGGGCCTCATGAAGCATATGGAGCCTCAGTTCTCCAAAACAAATTCAATAAATATGTCATGAGTCACACACAACTCAATTGGCGTGCAGTGTAAAAATTGATTCTAGCATTTTCATATAACTCATGCACAGAAAATAAAAATAAATTTTTCATTAAATTAGGAAACGAAATGATCCTATTTTCATAATAAAACACAGTGGCCCCAGGGAAAATTTTTTTGTGTGTGGCAGTCAATGTGTTAAACTCTTACATGTCCCTAGTTCACTAATCAGCACACCAATTCACTCTGAAACATAAAATTTAACCTATAATAAATAAAAATATCACTATTATTTAACCAAAACTCCAGTTTCAGACAATTTTCTAATTAGAAGAGTTACTGCTGAAATTCATAAGAGACTGTTAAGTACCTAACATCTCGACCACCACCACCAGGAAATACTTCTGAGTATTTAACATGTGCCAAGACCTGTGGAAAGTATTCTAAATCTACGTTTTATAACCTTTCCCATGCCATGAGAGGGAGGTACTATTATCTTCATTTTTTATATGAAAAACGGAGGTCAAGAGAGCCTTTTATTCCTAGACTCTTTCTGAACAACAAACCTTATCTGGTTTGCTTGTCATTCTAAGAACTTGATTTTTGTCAATAATCTTTTTATTACACCTGATGAATTTAGAGATTTTCTTCTACTGAAAAGGAAGCCTCCTTAAGATCAGTCCACACACACCTGCTTTCAATGCCTAGATGTGAATTTCAGAAACTGCAGAAGAAATTTTCTCCAGCAAATATGTAGTACCTAGATGGACTTTCTATGTAGATGCTTTGACATAAGCCAAGTGCATGCAGCATAAAAATATTTAATATTGTGTGCTCAAAGACAGGCTTACTGAAAAATCATCACAACACAATGGGAGTATTCTTTTAAAAAGAGATTTAAATAGGATTTTTCTTAGAAGATATTTAATTTTTTTAAAAATTAATTTTTTTATTATTCCAAAAGACCGAAGTAAACATTTTAGTTATAAAACTCATGCCAGATTCCTACTATGATTTATTGTACAATTTTACCCCCACTTCTAAAAAGATAATAATGCATCAAAAGAGTTTGCTTTATATGAATGTTTCCCAAAGTGTGTTCCTCACTAATAGCTACTTTAAAAGGAAGGTTCCATGCCATATATTTGGGAAATACTAGGTTAAGCTAAATTAACTAGGTTTCTTTACTGAAGAAAAATATATAACCCAGACACTAAAAAGTAACTTCCATTTTTCTTACAGGTAAAACAAGAAACTTACTGAAAAACAAATCTATCTACTCTATGTCGAATAATGCATAAGTGGAACCTAAATCTAAATAAAACTTTGTTTTCTCTCATTTCCCCAAAATATGGCACCTTTTCCAAGATCTTGTCAACTTCTTTTTTTAATGTTCTTGTGAAAGAAAAGAATAACACTTCTATTTTTGAAAACTGCTACTTGAATAATGCATTAAATAAAAGAGGTTGGGCAAATAAAGTTTGTCTTTCCTCAAGAAAAAAAAAAAGCCATATAATTTATTAAGGGTGGTTTAGCAAGGGATAAAAATGAATACTAAAAAGATATATATATAAAAAAATATAAGTAGTTCAAGTTGGCAGAATTAAGGCATATTGGAACACATATTGGGAGAATTCTTCATAACTCTATACAAATTTTTCTTTTTTTTTTTGAGACAGAGTCTCACTGTGTCGCCCGGGCTAGAGTGCTGTGGCGTCATCTTAGCTCACAGCAACCTCAAACTCCTGGGCTCAAGTGATCCTCCTGCCTC